CTTATAGATGGAAAGGAATTTACCTTAGAGAATTTAGAGCTTGGGTCCACGTAAAGACTTGAGCTTAAATGTTCATAATCGCTTAATTTGTTATAGCCCAAACTTGGATGCTGTCCAAATGTCTATCAATAGGCGAATTGATAAATAATGGTTCATCTACACAATGGAATACTACTCTGTACACACACAAACATGGAAGATCATCAAAATAAGTTTACTGAGTGAAAGAAGCCAACTTGAAAAAAAAAACCAGTGCGTTACTTATTACAAGAGATTGCATGTGTTACCACATTATGACTAGGAAAGGAAGAGAGGCAAGAAAGATAATGTTTTGCAGAGAACTTCCTCTTTCTGGAATAATCTGCAAGACCACCTTTTCCTGCACAAGATATGGAATTATCTTCAACACCATCACTGGGAACACACAGAACCAGTATTTAACAATAACAAAGAGTAAAGATTTTCTATTTAGTGAGTGACTCAACTGTCTAAGATGCAAACGTTGAGCCAGACATTATGTATAGCACTACAGATCCACAAATATAGTTGAGCATTTTCACAAAGATGTGGAAGAAAGACAGTATTGAAACTGGGGGGGGGGGCGGTGGGAGGGGGTATCTCAGTGGTAAAATGCATGCTTAGCATGCATGAGGTCCTGGGTTCAACCTCCAGTATCTCCATTAATAATAAATAAACCTAATTATCTCCCCCACCAAAAAAAAAAAAGAAGAGAGAGAGAATTCTTAATTTAAAAAAAAGAAACTATGGCTTGTAGTTTACTTCCCCACATAGTGAACCCCTCAATTTTATTTATGGAGAGTCGTCTCTGATAACAGACGTATGCTTCCACACCAGCATCCTGTTCCATTCTAAATTCCTTTTTCCTGGTGAAAGAGAACATAAATTAATCCATAGAGAGAGAGAAGGGATGAAGGTAGTCAAAAGGTTCAGACTTCAGTTATAAGATAAATAAATACTAAGGATGTAGTGCACGTGATAAATATAGCTAACATTGCTAAACATTATATATGAAAGTTAAGGGAACAGTTCCTTAGAGTTCTCATCACAAGAAAAAATTTTCTATTTCTTTTAATTTTGTACCTGTATGAGATGATCATTATGTTGTAGACTTTTGACTTATACAGTGCTGTATGTCATAGCTCAACAAAACTGGGAGAAAAAGAGATCTTCAGCTCCAGAATTTCTGCTAGGATCTTTTTTATGATTTCCATCTCTTTGTTAAATATCTCATTTTGTTCACGAATTGTTTTCCTGATATCAAATTATCTTTCTGTGTTTTCTTGTTGCTCACTGAGTTTCCTCAAAACAAGTATTTTGAATTCTTTATCAGATAAATTGCAATGCCTTTCGGCTACTGGAAGACTCTTACCTTTTGGTGGGGGCATGTTTCCTTGATTCTTCGTATTTGTTCCTTTGAGTCTGTGTTGCTGTTTTCACGTGTGAATCAGCAGGCACTTCCTCAGATCTCTTTGTGGGAGATGTTTTTGGTTTGGTTGGTTCTGCTTGTATCTGGTGTTTTCTCCAACTTTGGATACACCTGCTCCACACTTCTCACTCCTTGTGGTGAGAATTCTTAACGCTTGTCTTCTCTGGTTCTTACATCTCATCAAGCTGGCTCCTAGAAGACTCTCTTTTGTTTTCTCAGATGGTGACGCTATAGTTCATGTTTGTGGCTTCTTCCTTGTCCACAGACCCTGATCTGTTTTCTGAGGAGACTGTTTCCTGGGGCTCTCTGGCTGCTGCACTCTGGAACGTGCACAAGGAATGAGCCACAGTGTGGGGGGTGGTGTGGGTTTAGCAGGTGGGGTGTTGGGGGTCCCCCGCGGGCCACGTGGGAAACCTTAGGTGAGGTTCTCCCAGCAATGTGGGTGGGCTTCCTGCTGGAGTCCTAAAGGAAATCCCTTGAATGCCCTTTGATGTTCTTATCTCTCTCTTTACTGATCTCTTCTTCCCCCAAGTCTTGGAGGTCCTGCCTCCATATTCAGGATGCTGCAGGAGGGAAATGGGTTTCTCCAGCAGCATCCCCCACCACTGGGGTAGCTGGGAGCCCATGCACTGCTCTCCCTTTTTCCCCTGGGAGAAGCCACCACTGGCTACTTCATCCCCATGCTGCACCACCTCCAGGAAGGAGAGCCACTGGCAGAGTTCCTCTTACCCTCTTTAACATGTCCAAACTCATTTTCTTTTCTCTAAGGGAGACCTAGAATCTCTCCTTGGGAAAGCTGGACTTCTACCAAGTCTCTCTCATCCATGGGTGTCTTCCCAAGTCAACACCTTTTCGGCTTTCCCCTGCCGGGGCTGAGAGAGGCTGTGGCCAGGTAGCAAGCTCCTGCTGGCTCCAAGGCCACTACCAAGGTCTGTCTGCTAATAGCAGATGTGTTGGTGGTTGAGACTCCTTTGTATGTGTTACTGAGTCCCACAACTCCTACAGAGATACTTTTGTTCAGGGCTGGGCTCAGAATTGGTTGTTTAAAAGGTTAGGGGGGGACCTGAAAGGAAGGTTGTCTTATGTTGCCATGATGCTGATGTCACTCTAACACTCCACGTTTTCTGCAACAGGAACAGATGACCAGTCACTTGGGGGACAAGGCTCATTTATAGCACACTTCCCATAACTAAGAGAGACAGCAGAGCCAAGTGGAAATAACATGGATGCTGAAGACAATCTGGCCTGGGTTTAAATCCCAGCTCTGTGATCTACTGACTAAGCAGCCATGGGCAAATTGTTTTTATCTTTGTTGTACAAAGAAGCTCACAGCTTTAAAAAAAGAGATACTTGCTTACCTCAAAAAAATTTTTTAATGGATTAAAATGAAGTAACATAGATCAGCAGACATCCTGGAAGTTCAATTAATTTTAGCTTTATTCTCTTTCTTACTCTCCTGCAAGATTTAGACTCCCAGTTCAACTTTTTGGACTTAGTTGTTGATTTTCCGTGGTACCTTCCCTCTGTGCTCTAACAGCATCTTCTGTTTGCCCAGGTGAATCTCTCTCTTTCTCTATATTAATATGAGCTCCTAAAGGCAAGATACACAGTATATTCATATCTTCTGGGTTCCAGCGAAATGTCTTGAGTCCAACAGGGAATCAGCCCTTATTCTAGTTCACTGTCATAATCATGGAATCCTGTTAGATAAAATATTAATTTATTTACAAATGGCAAAAGATTTGGCTGGAAGCATAGGCATCTATCTTATTGTCTCTTGAGAAAAAAAAAATCATCAAAAACTGCTCTACCACGTAAAACCCCTAACTTTCAGACGTAGACTAATTGCCAGCTTAAACCTATCACCGTGACCAAGGCCTTGCAGAAGCTCAGGCCAATTCAAACAAACAAACAAACAAAAAAGTTATCTGGGGCCCCCAGCGAATGAGAACAGGAAATGAGCCGTTCTTTCTGAGCATGTTTTGAGCACAGTTTAGTGTTAGAGCCAAGAATTTCCCTTAATCATCTCTCGGTTCCTGGTGGTTGTTACAGATTGTGGCTTTTGCACAGTGTTTTCCTAGCAGTTCATCCCTAAACAGGCTGATATTACGTGTTAAAGTATTTCTCATTGCTGGAGAGAAGAAAGATGTTTTTTGTCGTTTCTCAAATCTGATAGCATTTCCCTCAAGCCTTTCTCCATCTATTTCTCTGCCTTTTTAGGACTAAAATGATATCATCTTATAATACATATTTCTTACATTTCAATTTACCTAGAAATATTCTATGTGAAGGTAACTAAGAATTGCCTTCCCTGGTCTCTTCCATGGTCCCATACCCATTTTCCCCAACCAGAAATAACAAGGTGTAGTTGACTTTTTTGTCAACAGTTCCTGAGGAATTGGGACAGGGTCGCTTTTCCTAATTTCAGGTTCAGGATGAGGCATCAGTATTTACGAATGCAAAAATATGTCCCACACACCATTCTAGGCACTTGGCTGCGTGATCTTTGAATGTACACGATGATCTGAAGTAATTAGAGTTAACATATCCATTTAAGACATAAGAAAAATAAACTAAGATGAACTGTAAAAGGTTACCCAAGATCATGGAACCAGTATCTGATGTAGCTTTTACAATTTGCTTCTACCTACATTCTAAACACCTCTAGCTCTTCAGTATGTTCAACAAAACCCTATGCAGGGAGTCCCAGGTACAAGCTGTTTGGGAGACATGAAGTAAGACCATTGGACTGTTTGTGGAGTGAGTAGAGGTTTTCCAGTGCAGGGAAATGCTCACGAAAACAAGATGGTGATTACTAATGGCCTCTCACAATCTTGTGCACGTAAATTTACCTCAATACTCCAAGCCAAGCGGAAATTACGAATACAGTACCCTGTTTTATCAGTGTATTTTGTAAGTAGAGCCATACCCCATAGGATGGAAATTATTTGGAAATTTTTTCCTTAAGGCAATTTTTAGAAAGAGGCCTTCGATTAGCTTTTGGGGAAAGGGGGGGGGCGGTTAGAATGAATGTTATGATCCCAGATTCTTGCTGGACCAAACATCAAATAACATCAAATAGCTCTGATTGCCTTTGCTTTCCCAACCACAAACTTAGTAACTGCGATTACCCAAAATCCTAAATATCCAAAAGCACAGAGGACGGAAACAGAAAAATCAGTTTCGAATTTTTTTGTCTCAAACTGCTCATTTTCAGATGGGAAGCCTGAGATCCTCAAAGAGAAAAGACTGTCCTAGGTTCACATAGCATAACAGAGGAATTAGAGTGAGGGCTAACTTGTAAAATGTGACTCATGGTCCTGTTTCCTTTCAACTGTATCCCATCATTTATTGACGAGGTGGCTGGTTATTGTTCTTATAGTCTGTTTTCTGTCTATGGGGTTATTTATAGATTATCCCATTTGATAAATCAAGAAGGAAGAAGGAAGTCTCCAGAAACTGTTCTTGGTCCTTGGCATCATTGCATTGATGCTTTGATCCTCCATTATCCTTGATCCATGCCCACCTCATGTACACAAGCACAAACAAGAAATCAAGTTAAAAGATTCCGATTTATTGAACAAATACTAGTCATTGAGGATACATCGAGGAGATCACAAACATACCAAGACATGACAGCATGCTGCACCATGGGGTCAAGTGATCATGAAACAAGAAATTATGGTTGGATAAGTAAGTGTGCATTAGGCAGTCTTCGTGGAGAAGATGACCTTTAAGTAGACATTTTCAGAAAGATAATTTGAGGCCCTAAAGGTGTGGCAGGCAGGCCAGTTGTGTTCTCAGTGTGTGCTTGGAGAAGTGAGCATGTGGTAAAAGGCTGGCAGGGGCAGAACGACCATCAGAATGATCTTGAGACCACAATTGTGTGAGGTACAGAGGAAATACAGCCAACGACGTGGTTAAAGCATTAAGTTAGTGGGCGAAAAGGGCTGCAGTATATTTTGCAGTCATGAAGATAGGCTGGATCCACTTCTAGAGACCCTGGTGGGCCAGGATTAGGAGCTTGGATGGAAATACATATGCCATGCAAGTGATGTGAGTCATACCTATGGATGATCAAGAATGGACACAGCGTCATAAGCTATCCCGTGAAAGGGTGTATGTTTATGCTGCTATTAAGTTTTGAGAAGCAAAATTTTATTTCAGAAAAATGAAGATAGAAAACCTATGGGCCTGAGGTTAGATGAGCATAAGAGTTCACTTAATCAACGGTTGGTTGTGTGGTTACGTGATCATTTTTATAGTCTCGGGGAATTAACACCGACCTATCAATTTTTAATTTTGGCATTCCAAGTAAATAAAATGTCACTAATTATTGTATTAATGAATTTGTGAATAATACCCCAAACTGATTTTTCAGTCCTTCCTTGGGACTCTTCAATTTGGGCTAAAGGTGTGAAATACTTTTTCCTTCCCTTAAAAATAAAAATATCAAATAGCAACAAAAGCATTTGGCTTGGCTTAATTTTTCTTCTCTATTTTCTATTCACAATCTCCTCTGTTATTTCTTACATCACATATACCCCCATTCCCTCTCTCTCTTTCTCTCAATACCTCTGCAAATGCTTTATTCATTTACTCATCACCATAATCCTGCTTTGAATTTCTCTGTCCCTTTTGCATTCCTTCACTATTGCTATTTTCTCTGCCTCATCTCCATGTCTTACCTGGAGTTGATTTAGCCCTATAAGTTCTTTTCTTGCCCAAACCAGCGAATACTGTCCTGATGGTTACTTAGTTTTTGTCTAACCTCTTTCGGCTTTGGGCCACTTGCTGTCTACTGTTTCACAATGTATTTTTCTGGCTAATTCTCTTATCCTGTACCCTAGATTTTTTTTTTTCCTTCTCCTTTTCCTCTCTGATTCTAGACATGTAAAAGTGAGCTTGGCTTTATTTTTATTTCAAAATAATTCTTGGAGTGTTAATCTGCTTCATTTAATGATGATCTCTCTTATAACAACACTAAATCTCTATCACCATATTTTGTCTTTACCAGCACTCTGTATTGGATACCATCAGGCATTCTTCAATTGTATTTTCCTTTGGTTTCCTAAAAATGGCAGGATAAAACTGAGCTTAATCTGGGTCTGTCTGTACTCATCACTTAATCAATTTGTATTTTTGACTTCTTATCATTTCTCTCAACATTACCAGATATTTTTTGATTTTAGATTCAAACACATAATGTGTTTGATAATCAACCAATTGCTTTCCTATCTTTATCCTTTAATTCAACTTGTTAACAAGAAGACCATTACTCTTTCTCTCCAGGCTTCAGATACGACTATCTCTCTCCATTTCCACTGACTTCATTTTAGCTCAAGTCTTCATTAATTTATTCTCTCATTTGAAATTCCTCACTAAATGGTCTTTGCATTTCTGGTTTCCATCTCACCAGACACTGAGTAACTTGATTAAACTTCCTACTGCTTGTTCATCAATCTGCACACATTATCCAACAATATTGTCTCAGTGAATATGCTGGTGATTCAAGCAAGATACAGATTTTCATGAGACTTGGTGCCTTTGGAAAAAAATGTATTATTACCAAGGGGACACAAAATATCTGCATATAGAAAGTTACATTTAGTGTAAGATGTGTGTGTGTGTATTTAGTTAGAAAAACTCATCATCTAGAAAGAGGAACAAGCAACTAGAAAACTAATCATCTGGGATTTAGGATTAGCATTACGGAAAGAAGAAATTCAAGTAAGCATAGAAAAGAAAGGCAGAACATTTCAAGTACAAAGCCTATTAAAGAGAAAGTTGAAGTGGGATTAGTGGGTGGGACTTTTAAGATGAAATGGACTTAAATTTTATATTATTAGAGATTACTAAAATTTGTAGATTGCTTGTATGTATATATGAATTAATTAATTTATATAATAATCCCTTTCTCTTCTAGAGCACTTTTGTGTGAGTGTGTGTGTAACTGTGTGTGTGTCTGTGTTTCCACAACAGACTTTTAGTGCTGGCAGGTCAAGTATTCCTAATATCTTAATTTTACAGATAAGAAAATTCAGGTTAAGTAAAAGGTTAAACAATTTGCTACAACTCACTCCACTAATAAGCAATAGGACTGGGATTCCAATGCAGACTCCCTGCACCGGCTAAGATTAGCAATCCTTCAGTGACAGCATGTTGTTTTTTCCGTGTAAGAGCAAACATAGACTGGAAGCGCCCATTGCTAGAACCCATTTGGAGCATCCCAAAATATTTACTACATACTCACAGACTCTCTATTCAAATCTCTATACGATTATCTGCCTAAATCTATTTTTAACATCGGTCAATTTGGTCTTCTTAGCTCCTCCAAAGTCACTTCAGAATCATATCTCTCTCCTTTCCCACTCTACCTCTGGCCTGACCTGGTGGTATACCCTCCCCAGTCTCCAGCCCTCACTCCATAAATCCATATTGAGCACCCACCATGTAAGAAGCATTGGAATATATAATGTGAAAGAAACAAGTGTAGAAAACTTCAAACACTTAGTTGGTTCTCAGCATACATCTGCTGAATGGGTTTTGCCTTCAAGGTGCTTGCAGCCCAGCAGGGGGACATGTATCACGCACATCCGCAGCTCTTGTGAACTCTTAAAAAAGACTAAGAGCCCAACATTATCAAGCCATTAAAGTTCAACTCAACTCGCAAGACTTCTTCTTGTTGTCCCCATTTGTACAGTTTTCCCCGCTGGCACATGGTAAATGCTTACTTATTACACATTGACTTCCCAGGAGGGATGGGTGTGAGATAACAACAGAAAACAAGAAAAATAGGAGGCCATCATATCTACAAATGGAGAGGGAGATCTAAGTGAACAGAAACCACAAAAACAGAATATTGCCACCCAGAGACTACATTATAATGTAAAGCTGGCAGGTCACAGGAGGAACTGGAATTTTGCCAGTAGCCCCTTAAACAAAGATCTCGGCTTTCTAGACCCTCTGCTGTGAATCAGAATTTTCCAGACACATGATTCTTATGAATCAGCGGGAGAAGTTGTCTCCCTTCTGTCTTCCAACTCACTGTAAATAGGTGAATATATGTTCACTTCTTCATAAAGACCATCTTCTGGAATCTGAGGAGGGAAAAAAATCATTCAGTATCAATCACGAAGAATTTTCCACCACTAGAAGACTTGTTTATGAGGTATATCTCATCTCCTTTTGTCTTTCTGAATCCCACAGTTTCCCATTACATTCTATTCCCTCCACCTCCAACAAACCAAGCCGGATTGTCTGGCCACGTGGACCCAAGAGAAATTACATCAGTCAATGAGAAGTTGGTGAGACTATTATGTGTCTGAACTTTGGTATATCTCTTGTATTATTTATCTTTGGAGGAAAGGGGTCAAAAAAGGCAGCCAGACTTGAATGCTTTAGGCAAGTAGACAGATGAAGAGTGTATGTTTTATCTGGAAGATCTAAATACCTATGCATCAAGCATCAGTAATTATTTTTCATTATCAAAGGTGTAGTAAATAGGAAAGGCAAGTGGAAAAGCAAGTGGTAGTAGTAAACTCCGGAGGAATCAATACTGGGGCTTCAGAGCAAGAGGGAAGATAAACGCCCAGAAAAAAAGAGAGAGAAGGAACAAATATAACAGAGCTCTTCTGGGACAGAAAATAAGCCCAGATATCTGACTGGTTCCTTCACATGCTACCTGTACGTTCATCTCTCACACTTAACGTACTCCAAAGCAAATCTCCATTTTCTAAAATAATGAAGATCCTATTTTCCTAACCCTCAGTCACAGGGATCTGCTATGAGATGTCTGCTATTTATGCGTGGGACATGTGATTTAAAACATGAGATTTGGAAACCAAAATACTGAAACTTGGAGAAATCATTTTCTGGGAGAAATAGTGCAGGAAACCCAGGCCATACATTTTAGGCAACAAAGCTCAAGTTCTTTAGCGTATGGTGTGGGACTTGGTATCAGGGTCTGCTTACCTTACTCTGCTCCAGTACTTCTCCGATCCTGTATGCTGTGACTGACACTGCACTGCAGAACCCCAGAAAGGTGAGAAACAGGATCATCGCCACAATTTCCTGTTGAGCAGCATCCAAGAAGAACCAAAAAGACAAGTAGAGTCATGAGGTTGGTGTCCCCAAAGCGTGCTCCCTTACAGTAGCCCCTGTTTTCCTCACCCTCTATGTGGTCAGTTTCTATAAAATGACACACACATGGGAAAACCAGGAGATGGTTACTCAAAGCAGAGGACCCACCCTTGCGGAATTCAGCTGGGGTTAGGGCTGCCCCATGTCTGCACATAAGACTCAGGAACGCAGCATTCTCTGACAGGAGTTGCAAGAAAGGATCACACTCATGGAAAGGAAAAGAGGTTTCCTTAGTTAGATGAGGACCTAGACTCTTAGCTTTCCCACGAGAAATACGTACAGTGGAAAAAGAAGCCTCAGAGCAGAAGCTACTCTGATCATTTTCCTGGCAACTGTGGACATAAGCTGAGCTTGCTTTCAGGTTGGTGATCAGGATGACGATTCCTGTTCCCCCAGCTATGCTGCTGACAGTGTTTGCTCCCAGACTTCCTCGTATCTGATGACAGACAACAACATTTAGACCTGGTCCTGCGCCTGCCACAACATTCAGCGAACCATCTGCATTTCAGGGCTGGATATAGCCAGGAAACTCTGCATTTATTCAAAATATAGATTAAAAAGGGAACTCTTGAAAATATACTTGTTTAATAAGGGTCTATAATTTTCTTGCTAGGACTGCATTCAGGAAGACCCACGTGGATACTCATAGTCTCTCTTTAAATAGACTCCTTATTTGGAAACAAATCATTTGTTTGATCACAGAACTATGCTTACAAGGACAAAGGTGGTGTGAGGATATTTTTTCAACAGGTGTCAAGGTAGAGGGGGAGGGGATAGCTCAAATGGTAAAGCGCATGCTTAGCATGCATGAGGTCCTGGGTTCAATCCCCAGTACCTCCTCTAAAACATAAATAAACCTAATTACCTCCCCCCCCCTGGGTGGGGAACATTAAAAATAAAAAAATTAAAAAAACAGGCGTCAAGGTGATACATGTATTACTTTTTAAGGGATAGAGTGGGTATTTTAATGATTATATTTTTAGTGATTATATCCAACACAAAAGTAGATTGGAAAAAAATCACATATCCACATTTACTCATAATATAAGAGACACATGACATGTCTCCTTCAAGACTCTGAAAATTAATCTTTTTTTTACCTCTGAAAGGCTGTACTAAGATAGAATGCAACTCACCAGATATGTTGTACGTTTGTTTTCAGATATAAATGACAAAAATCCAGAAATAGCAAACTGTCCAAAAGGGAGGAGGGAAAAGAAAAAAGCACAGTGAGTCTCTCTTCTTCTCTGCGTCCCTTTCACCCCCATTCTCTAAATAGAAGGTAAAGTTTAGGTATTCTATAAGGCTATTCTTGAATTTTTATTTATTTTTATTTTTAAATTTTTTATCATTTTATTTTTTTAGTTTCCTGTAGAGAGCGTCTCAGAATTAAATGTACATATGAATTACATGCGGGCTTTGTCAAAATGCAGACTCAGTAGGTCCTGCCTGGAATTCTTCATTTCTACCTGGCTCCCAGGTGATGGTCCATGGGTCACTATGAAGTGTAGTAAGGTCCCACAGCATCTGGTGTGTGAGTATGTTATCATGCTATTCTCATTTTATTGTAATTGTATGAGCATCTTGTGTGTTGCAGTCAGCCCCTTTGCACAAGGATCATGGGTCTGTCTCTAGAGTCTGACATATATCACATGGACATACAGTAATTATGAAAATGTACATGGTGAAACATATATACACCAATAGCACAAACTCAAAAAAAAATGTTGAAGATTCAGATTGTGTGATGAGTTGAGAGATCTCTAATAAGCTAAGTGTTTGGAATGAAAAAACAGCAGGGAGAAGTTTTAAATAAAATATGGCAAAAATTCAAAGAAAGTCCTGAACAAGCGACCCAAGACCTAAGTATCTGACAGAGGGCCAAGCCAATGCAGCCTTTTATGGAGTTAAAATGCATCCTTGTGAATGAACTGTTGATACAAAAAAAAAAAAGAAACAATCAAAAATAACTATGCTGAGTGAAAGAAGCCAGACAGTAGAGAGCCCATGCTGTATAATTCCATTTATACAAAACTCTAGAAAATGCCAACTAATCTAGAGTGACAAAAAGCAAGTGATTTCTTGAGGATGGGAAGACAAGGAATGGAGGGAGGGGTGATTACCAAGGGACACAAGGACACTTTGGGCAGTGATGAATTTATTCATTACATTGATGTGCTAATGTTTTCACACGTATATTCATGTGTCAACATTTAGGAAATTGTTCACCTTAAGTATGTGTAACTTGCTTACTGTATGTCAGTTATTCCTCCATAAAGCTATATATCTTTGTGATCTCATTCAGCCATCTAGTTTCTCTAAATAGGACAATGATTAAAAGAACTACAATAAGAAAGGACCTAAATGAATTTCTAGAGCATAGTAGAAGTTCATCAAATGTCTTTCAGGCATGTTCCCCTCACCTCAGCTGTCTCTTCCCCCTCTCTTCACTAAGATAACCTTCCTGATGAACAGTGCTAGGGAAAGTTTTCTGGAATTGGATTCTGAAAGTTTAAGTTGAATTTTTATTAGCTAAATGTCCCTTGAGCAATTCATTTAACTTTTATTGATCTCAGGTTTCTTATCTGATGAAAGCATGCTAATATATTTAACCCAAAGTGCTTTGTAAACTACAAATACATATATATATTTACATACACATATTAGAATGTATTTATATATTCTAAATACTAGAATAAAAATTTGGTTATATCTGATCTGGAAAGCCATGTACAGTGTTGTTTCAGAGACAGTTGTAAACATATACTCACAAATACTGCTCCCCAGAATGGGTAGCCTGTTTTAAATGATGAAAAAACGTCTCCACCAGATTCTGAAATATCGAACATGGAGTAGACAATCGTTCCAAAATAAAGGCATATCAAACCAACCAGAATTTGTGTCACCTGTAGAAAAATACATACGTTTTGTGCAATAAGAAGATACTTTCCTAAGATAACATCAATTTTCTTATCCTTGAGGCCAGATATGAGACATGGCTTTGCTATCTTAGGTAGTCCTGAGAAAGGATCCAAATGAGATATTTTCCAGCATCATCTGGCCACACTAAGAATTTATATAGGCATGACCTAGTCCAGGGACAGCCAATACATTTCTCCTGTGCCTTTAATTTACATACTCAATGATGGTCATCAATATTGGCTCTTTCCATCTTAGTGAAGGTAAAGATTATGAATCCTTCACAGTATGATATGAATTCCCTGCCAACTGACCAGAGTTGGCAGATCCTATTTGCTATTCTTATCCTAGTCATCATGAGGAAATGCTTCTTTCTGCCCAACCCATTGAGTGCCCATTGAGCATCAACTCTTCATCTGCCATTTTTTCTCACTCCCCATGAGTCTGGTGGGGAAGCTATGTTGATGGCACCAAATACTCTTTCTTAGAGCCAGTCTTTACTCTGGTTGAGGTTGGAGGAGGCTCACTCACCCCCAGGAATTCCAGCTCCTTCTTCAAAAAAGTTAGCCATGTCTGGCGTGGTGGGGATGGGGCAGGCTTCTCCAGTAAGACGTTCTCATGGAGAGGAACTTTTGGAAGTTCAATTTCAGGCACGCTGTGATGGGTTTAAATGGAATTGCAGTCATGAGAAAATTCTCTAACTTCCTTTGCAAAACTCTCAACTGGCAGAAGGGAGGATTTCGCTTGTTTATTTTTTCAAAGCAATCCTGCAATTAAAATCTTCATTGTAAAATACAAGAAACTGAGGCTTAGAGCGTCCAAGTTAGTGGGCCAAGATCAGCTAACTCATAAGTAATTAGATGGAACAAAATGGAACAAAAATCATGCCAAGTCTTCTTATTCTTAATCCAAAATTATCATCAAGTTTTTTTCCCCATTAATCTATGCTGATGAGTAAAAATAAAAACAATCAAATAGACATGTTTACCTATGAATCTTTCAGTCTTTTTAACATAGAAATATATCTGAATATATTTTGTCAATGACACACTCAATTTCATGTACATGGAAGAATGGCTTTGAAGAGTTTGTTGATCTCTGTTCCTGTTTTCATCCTCAGAGGAGGCTACTTGGAAATGCTGTCTCTCTTAAAGCATTGGAGTATGCTTAATATTTTGCAGTGATACTCAATCCAATATGGATTCCCAATGCTCTGGATTCAGCTTCTCCTAAACTCTTCAAAAGGAAAGTCTTAACATGTGTTAATCGTTGGTATTCAAAGGAAAACCAAATTATGTACCTCTACCAGATTTCACTCCTTGAACGTTTCCCCACTAAACCGTGGGGCAGGATCCCGCAGATTGAGATTCACAAAGACTAACCAGAAAGAAGCTCAAGGTCATTTTGAAAAGCTTCTGTCCCTTAACACGTATCAAATACAGAGGCAAGACATCTGTATTGACAGTGAAGACTCCCCTACCTCATACCAAGAATATGAGCCTCTTCTGTTAGAAAAATCACCTAAGTTGTTGCCAATTTACACACTAAGTAAAAACCTCCCTCCCCATCAACCAGACAGAACTACTGAGAACGTCTAGCAGATAACTTCTGCATACCCAGTATATTAATGAAACCAGATGGTCCATGCCTAAATTCATGACTTGGCTTCTCCCCAGCACTGTTACTATCTCTGGTTCACTAAGTGACTGGGAATAGAAAAAAATAATAGCCTGTACCCACCTGGAGGGCCCGTGTGGATCTGGGAGAGCAAGGTCTGTTCTGCTCCTGTTTTCTGTGTCCATTTCCTCATTCACTGAGCTCTCCATTGGCGAAGAAGTGTTCCAGTGAGCCTCGGTGGGCTTCCTCTCACAGTGTCTCCGGATGGTCAGTTGGGATGGGTTGGCTTGTAACACTAATGGTTATCTTCATTCTGAAGACATCTGTCCGACAGATAAGTTCCCCAGCTGATTAAGATCACCAGGGTTTTTCTTGTTATAATGAAGAGCCAAATTGAGTTCCTGAATAGGGATGAGTGTGAAATAGAGATTTGAGACTCCTGGAGGTTAATTCTGCCTGAAACCAGCAAGATTCACAGAACTGAAAAATGAGATGGTTTAGCAGAGACTGAGGAAGTGAGAAAGAAATGCAGAACAGAAAGAGACTGTGCTCCTCTCCTCGAGCCTTCTCTGCCTGTGACCCAGTTTAGCCATCCCTATGCCGGAAGCACTCCCACTGTGCTTTAGACATACTTGGCTTCGCACCTAATCTAAATTTGAAGCACTGTTTGCAAGTATGAGTATGTCTTAGTCTCTGAATCTCTGGATTTGTCTCTGACTACAATATTTAAAGGCTTTCTCTTTCTTCCTGTTTTTTGGACTCTGTTTATATGGCTCTCTGCAGCAGATGGTTTCAGAAATTGGACAGTCAGAGTTCTAACTCCCAGGACCCATTCCTAGCAGAGTGTGAAAGCTAAGATATTCCACACTAAAGACTCCATTGTCTGCTAAAGCATCAAGTTGACTCTCTGCTGGTTTAATTTTTGTGATGGCAAGGATGGAACTGTGGAAACACTGAGGAACATGACTTGATAATATATCTTATAAATAGATCTAAGCAGTGTTGGACTGAGCAGTATGTTTAAATGAGCTAAACTAATGTATTCATTTGAATAGCGTAACTAGATGGACCGTAGTAAAATGAAGACACAGGTGAGATTCACAGATTTGGGACTCTTTATTTCAGTTTAATCACGGACATAACCTTGAATGGCTCCTTATTAAATGGTAAGATACTACAAATTGTGTTTCTGTGTTGTCTCTCTGGTTTGTGATAAAATTTTTGCTCTTACTCCAAGAAACTTAAGATGTTTGTGACCAAGGGACACTAAAAGATATATTAGCATACCTTTCATAACACAGAAGTATTAACCCATGGGCCATCTTCCCACTCGGTCTTCAGGAAGTGGTGGACCCAACCAGTGTGTTATTGGAATTAATAAACCTCATTCACTTATCCATTCATCCAAAAGGGATCTTCAGTGTCTGACACTGCTCATCAGCGAGTGTGCAGAGATAAACACCATGGTCCCAGCCCTCGTCCAGCTCACAATCTAACAGAGTAGAGCAAAGATAAATGATATGGTATTGCCAATATGTCAGAGGCTGCTGGGACACACAGCAGGATGAAACAGTTCTACTTGGTAAGGAGTGTGTAGAATTCAAGGAAGAGTTTCCCAGAGAAAGTAACATTTGAACCAAGACTTCAAATGATAGCCTTAGGAATTTTTCATTCACCTCCTCTCCTTTGGTGAAATCACACCACATCTGCCAGAAAAAGACCTGAAGAAATGCCTGTTTATGATGTTTTCTGGGAGTAGTGTATAATAGTTCACTAAGTTTGCAGAGAATAATTAGAAATTAAACTTGAGATTTAGACCAGAAATAGACTGAAGATGGTCTTTGGGGTTTGGACACAATGCTATTTTAGGAGAACTTTCAACAGAAACTTACAAAATGTAAATCAGTAACTGATGGATCTTACGATCTTGGACTTGTTTCATATCCCAGTTTCCACCAGCATCTTCTTCCGACCCCCTGCTGGAAGCTTGTCCTCTTCTAAGCCCTCATTTTGGGTCCTTACAGACATGCTCTCCCATCTTTCACATTAGTAAACATTGAAACATATGACAAAATGCCTTTTTTTTTTGGTGGGGGAAAATTATCAAGATGAGGTTTAATCATGCCTTGCCTGAAAGGAAGTGATAATAGCACAAAGGTTTCTTCCCCACCGCGTACATTTCCTCCGACATCCGGCGCCTATGACAAGCAAAGTGTCTTCTCTCAGATACACACTGGGCTTATTTTCCCAAACTCAAAGGCAATTTGCTCTGAGATCCCATCTGAAAAATTGTTTTCTCAAACTGAGTGCTCAATTCACTTAAAATAAATATGCACGAATTTGCATGTTGCAAATTGACAGTTGCTATCTCTTTAGGGTATTTTTTGATACTCCCAAAATAATCCCAACCCCTGCCTTCTCTCTCTCTCTCTCTCTCTCTCTCTCTCTCTTCCTCTCTGTTTCATTTCTACAGCCCAGAGCCAAATATGGCTTCAATAAATATGATTAAGAGGTGATAGACGCTGAAACTGATACTGAGCTCCCCATGTTTTGTGGGAAATTTGGTTATATAAATGAAGGAAATGAAAAAATATTGTTCACAGAACAAAACAAGTGGTTCTGAAAGGCCTAGAGCTAAGTTCAAACCTGACTAAAGAGAAAACCTCTGTGTCTTCATTCACATGACTTCAGAAATGCAAAGAGCAATATTTATACAGACTAGCCAGGTGCTTAAAGTCTTTTGGATCTGTTTCTAAAATTGCAGTTTAACTTCCATTACAGCCTTTGGGACACAACTGCCAAGGTCCAGCACATGTTAATTCTTCATCTGCCCACACCCCTTCCACTCTCCAGAATGACACTTTTCAACTGGGAAAATTATAAATGCAAAATATACTTGTTCATTTGTGACCAAGAAGACACCTAGAGTCACAGACAGGGTGTAGACATTAGCTGACTCCTTACTGTGGATGGTGAGCTGTTAGTCTTCTTAAAGCGTCCTTCCTTTCCCCATCTCCTTCCACTATAATTGTATCTGAATGTTTGGTCAGATTCATTTTTACTCTCTTCAGTATTATTTCAAAACTTTTAGTAATTTCCTATTCTTTATTGGCTTATTTTTGTAAAGCATAATTTTATCTTCTAATACCTTACAAGGGGTGTATAAATCACCTATCCATCCTCTTTTTCACATTGCTAGCCCTGGAAGAGTGATGTATCACATGTCTTTTTCTACATGAGGTATCACCTCACGTTTCTGTCTGGACTGGGTGCCTATAAATGTGCCACACAGCTATCACACTAGGATTCCCGCTGCCTCGTCTTGTCCTGGATGTCCTATTTCCTTGAGCCCCCTTTGCATCTTTCTTAGTGTGCTATTGCATGTTGGTAGAACATATTCCCTGGTCCCATGCTGAGAACAGGTGTCTGGGTGATGTGCTGTTTGAGACTTTGCTGATCTGAACATTTCCTTTTCATCTACACTTTAGACTTAATTGAATTCTAGCAAGGTATAGAGTTTGAACTGGAAGATATTATTTACTCAGAATTATTCACTCCATTTACTTCCAGAATTATTTTGAGAATTTCAATGCAATTTTTAATTCCAGATATTCGTATGTGCCATATTTTCTCTCTGAAAACTTTCATAATGTCTTTTAATCCCCAGAAGTCAGAAATAGTCAGAAATACATAATGTTAAAGTCAACCTTACACATTAATTTCACTGCATAGCCAGTAACCATTATCAAACTGGAGACCCACGGGCTTTGTTCTAGGAATTTTCCCCATCTTTTTTTTTTATGAATTCCTCATAAAAAGTTGTTTATTTTTGTAGATATCTTATTAGGGATATGGCAGGCATCCAAAATTTGTCTCAGTTTCTCATGTTCTCCTCACATGCAGAATAGACTCTTTCCATCCCAATAGCCATAACTTGTTCCAGTATCAACTCAAAACTCTATGTCCAAAGTCACATCTAAGTATCATTTATATCAGTTACGAGTGAGATAATTTATCCTGAGGCAAATGCTTAAATCAATGGCTCCAATTCTTCTTTAATAGGTATCAAATTGTTACCACTTACATTACTCTTTATTTGGTTGGAGTTTTATTTTAAACATTTAACTAAACAAATTATCATTCAATGAAAATAGGGACAAAATAATTCTACAACTTAAGTTTTATTTCTGAATTTTTAACACAATGGCAAAGCACATGGTGGGAGCACAATATTTACTGAATGAATGAATGAATGAATGAATGAATGAATAGATAAACCAATTATCCATCATGTCTCCAATGTCCCCAGCTTGCTGGTAAACCAGGAGTAAAATGAATAGACACATTACACAAATATTAGTGGCTTACAGATTGCATACTGCAAGGTCTTCCCAAATTACTAATTCATCAGATACAATAAGTTTTCATAGAGATTTTTCATAGGATTCTTTTTGGAGAAAGCTTCATCAGGAAGTTTCAAAAAGCAGTAAATAGAAAACTTTTTTTTCAAAGCACATGTTTTGCTTTTGTTTGTTTGTTTTTTAAGAAGGGGAGATAATTAAGTTTATTTATTTATTTATATTTGGAGGAGGTACTGGGGATTGATCCCAGGACCTTGCACGTGCTAAGCATGTGCTCTACCACCTGAGTTATATCCTCCCCTCAAAACACTGTATTTTGAAATATCAAGAGTTCATTCTTTGTCTCTCCTATTAAGCATTCCAATCACTCTCTTTAGCATTCTCTAATTTTCTTTTCACTCCTATTGGTTTTTAGCAGTCATCATCAGATCATGAATAATGTATTTTTTCTCTTTTTCTTTCTGAGATATTTCCAAAATATCCCCTCCCTGAGGAAAGTCAAAACATCGATTGTAGGATCCATTCTAAACCACACCATAGCTGCTGCCCTGGTCCCAGCCTACCCAAGATAAAACCTGGGCTTGGCTGAAGGACTTTTGTAAGACTCAGTGAAGAAAAGATAAGAAGCAGCATGTTGCGACCTATAGAATAGCCATTTCAAAAATTTGAGTTTTGTTGTCTTCCAACTCGAACTGAATATGAGCTAGTATATTATGAGCTATGTGATTATGGGTGAATTTCTGATTTTCCCGTCAAAATAGGAATAACAGCACCCACTTGTAAGGGGTGTTGTGATTAAATGAGATAATAAATATAAAGTAGCAGGGTGTAAAACCCGGTAGTTTCAGAGTTAACCTTAACTTCTCCCTCCAACTTCTCCTGTTTTTTAATCAAGTCAGAAGGCTGTTCTGAGGGCCAAATTAAACTGCATAATAAATACATGCACCTAAAGAGCCTTAGACATAGTATATAGTCAATCAATGTTAATATCATTCCCTTGTGAGCTTCAAGTTTTATTACTATAAAGCTGTGCTATTTTCACTACACGACACTGCTTCTACAAAGAGGGCATAAAGGAATGCTGTGTAGAGAGATTCTAAACAAAGGATCATGTAATTTCTCATCA